ATATTAGTTGAGCCAAACCTTTTTCATTTTAAACCAAGTATCTTAGCCTAGTCTCTTTGAACACAAATAAATAAGGAAATAAGGAAAAAGGGAATAGATCCTTTACCCTTGATGACCTTTTCTTGATTTCTCAAGAATGAACACCTTTGTTGGAAAAGCCTTTTGTTTTTCTTGATTTTGACTCCTTCACCTTATGGCTCCAAGATTGAAGTCATCTACCTCACCATACCAAATGCTCCAAGAGATGAAGAGAATGCAATCAAGAAGTATGGATGCTAGTTTACTTCTTGATTGGGCCAATTTTTGGTTTATGGAAGATGAGATACAAAGATGATCACTCATCAACCAAAGTAGGAAACTAAAAATCCCTAGCTAGGTTTTCTCCAACACTTAGCTTATATAGGATAACACAAAAGGCAATTGGGTAGGTATTTGCGGCTCCATTTGGTCCATGGGTCATGTCATCTTATGCCACTTATCCCCTGGGCCCAATATCCTTTTGGGTTATTTTGTCTCTTTCCTTTTAAATCATATTTAAAGTCTTAATCCAATATTTCTATATATCAATATTAATTCCATAATTAATCTTTTAATTATAATTTAACTATTAAATTATAATTATAGTCTTACTTAATTGACTTGGTCGAACTATTTGACTTCAGTCAATTGCTCTGGTCAATATGTTGACTTTTAACCATTGACTTCGACATTTGAGTATCAACCATTGACTTGTGTCTCCTCATTTCATTTCTCTTCATTTGTACCTCTAATCACATTCTTTTGGTGTGCTGATCCGTAGGTTTCCTTTAGCAAGGTAGTGGGTTGATTGAACTCCTCAGAGATGATATACAAATTAAATTCCACAATTAAATTCTTCTTATTAATAAAGGCTAATTGAAACCTTTTAAGACATCCACAAACCATGGTTGTCGCCTAGCAGCAAGTCACGGTTATTCAAGCTAAATGAGACGTTGTGAACCTATTCAAATTGGAATGACCGTGCAATTGAATCTTTCTCTTATGTCAATACTTCTTATTCACATTATCAGATCATGAAATCCGATTGTCAATATCCTAATGTGAATCATTCCTTTTATATGATTATCCTGGTAAGATTTGAAGACTTTTTCTTTGAAGTCTTATCCACTACTCTGCGCATAGATTTGACCAATCATATCTTAGAGTATTATCTCTCCTTTACTGAGAGTAGAGATTTCTTGTTGTACATTCATTTGCTTCCATGACTCTATTGAGAATCCTGATGAGCACCTTTAAGCTATCTCTAATTCAGCATAACCGTATAGTGCCCTCAAAGATTAACAACATAGCCACAAAATATCTATGATGCCTCAGGTCTAAGGATTAGTTTGCACCATTGCAATTTATGAGTTCTAGCTTGACATGTGAGTAAAGACTTCTATGTTGTAACTCATGTGTTGGATCATGTACTTGTTCTTCTACAAACACCTACACACATATCGATGTGTCTCCACACTTAATGACTTGAGACCTTATTATTCCCTACATATAGAAACGATACTATATGTACTAGTCTTTGCGAAATATTGACGTCCAATCAATATTCCTATGACCATGAACATATTCAGGATTTAGGGATGGTGAGAAGTCTCCATGTATGCAATCTCATTACAGAGCTCTCATATCCACTTGTGTATTCCTTGGATTATGGTTGTTCTACATATTGAAAAATAGGGTTAATGACCTAAATGGTCCCCCAACTATCGCGCAATTATCATTTTGGTCCACCAACTAAAATTTTCAATTCAAAAGTCCTTAAACTTTTTATAATGTACCAAAATCGTCCTTCCGTCAAAGTCTATGTATTATTCCTATCGAGGGACAAAACCGTATTTTTAGGTGAATATATTTAACGGAATAATACACAGACTTTGACGGAAGGACAATTTTGGTATATTATAAAAAGTTTAAGGACGTTTGAATTGAAAATTTTAGTTGGTGGACCAAAATGATAACTTCGCGATAGTTGGGGGACCATTTAGGTCATTAACCCTTGAAAAATAATATATGATGATTTAATGTATGAAACAACCTTTCTTGCCCATTGATAACATAATATGTTTTTTTTTTTTTATCAAAGATGTCCTTAACTTTAACTATTACATAATTAGTTGGCTTTAAGGACATATTTCTAACACTCTCCATCCACCACTCACCACTCACCCACCCACTCACCAGCCACATGGCATTTTTTGGTTGAGATGGACTCTATTGTTTAAATGAGGGTTTGTCATCGAGCCGGGCCACCCATGGCCCGCCCATTGCCCTTTTTTTTTGGCCTTATATTGCCTTGCCTTATTTCCATTATAAACATTTAAGTAAATTTCATGTCTTTTTACTTTAATTTACTTTTATATTACTCCATTTATTTAAGTTTACAATATAAATAAGGACCCCCCCCCCCCCAAAAAAAAAATTGGATTCAATTAAAAATACTAGAAAATCAAATTTCCAACAAATCAAAATATGAAAATCTTGTTTTAGTATAAGATACAGTTTATACTAATAGTGATACCTCAATAAGTCAATGTGTGTTTTATACTAAAATCTCATAAAATCGTGTTTGCTTAATTTAAGATTGAAGGAATATAAATTGCTAAAAATATCATGGAAAACATTAGTATTTCGAAAGTCTATTTTTCATACTTAGTCAAATTTTTGAGAGAAAACAGTTTTTCAAGTATAATATGTAGTAATCTATAGGACAAACTACAGTAAACCCCCAACCTATAGGGTCATTTACGAGTTCATACCCGATTTTGGGGACATTTATGAGTACATACACAACGTCGTGAAAACTTACAGATCGCCCCCTCCGTTAGCGAATCCGTCAGGAAATCCGTTATCTGCCTACGTGGCATTTGTGGGACCCTTTTTTTAACTGACGTGGACTTCCACGTGGACAAAAAACTAATAAAAAATTATTTTTAAAATAATAAAAAAATTAAATTAAAAAAAAGCAAATAAAATAAAATAAAATTACTGTTTAAATTATTTAAATCTCTCTCTCTCTCTCTCTCTGAGAACTCAAACCCAAAACACACTCTCTCTCTCTTCCTCATAGCTTTCGTCAACGACCCAAAGGGCGATGGCTGTGATCATGGATCCTCCCAGAATCCTCTTTGATTCTTTACTTTGCTTAAAAAAACTCAGTTCCAAAAAAAATGGCTCAGTTCCTGAATGGCTTTCTTGAGGATAACTTGCAAAGCACAAGTTCCGACTGAAACAATGAAAGAACCACCTCTTCAGATATTACAGTGATTTTGCTGTGTCTGCCAACCTTATGTTGCATTTTGTTTTTGTCCTGTTTATGTTCTATAGAAAGAAAGTGAAAATAATTGACAACGAGCAAACGTTTCTTTTCAACCAAAGTCCCAAATTAAAAATTAAAAGCCCTACCCAAATTCTCTCTCCCGATTTCTTCCCCCTTCCTCCCAATTTCTTCCACCTCTGAAAAATCATCTTCATCTGGTGTAAACTCCTCATCATCATCATCATCTTCATCATCGTAATTGTTCCCACCATTGATCTCTCTCTCAAGGTCCTCTCGGCCTTCAATGGCCGACCTTTCACTCCCACACCTTCTCTCCCGAACCCTAAACCCAACCCCAACAAACCAATCGAACCAATCGAACCCAATTGCCCTTTAACCTCAGAACCCCAACGCAGTCGCCTCCCTTCCCCTGAACACAAACCCAATTACCGAAAGTCCGAAGCTTTCTCTGAATCGGGCGAATCCGGAGCTGACCGACCAACCGGAACCCGAAAACTTCAGCTCCATGGACAGCGAAACGCACTTCAACCTCAAGGTCGTGTCCCCAAAATTCGAGGGGCAGAGCCTGGTGAAACGACACCGCATGGTGTACGACGCCTTAGCTGACGAGCTCCAGTCTGGTCTCCATGCGCTGTCTATTGTGGCCAAGACTCCCCAAGAGATTGGCCCCAAATAAGCCATTCCAATTTCCACCTGCTATTTCCTTCCTTGTCACTGTTTATGAGGGTTTCTCGTTCTATCTTTTATGAATCGATTTATCAGATGATGTATGCATTTTTACTGAGTCGAACTTTGAAATTGAAATACCAATCTCTTTCAGAAATATGTGTTATAATTTTACAACTATAAATTTGTCATCTGGATTCAATTGTTGAATGAGTAGCAAGGCATAATGCTTGCTTTTTGAGTTAAGATGGTCAGTCAAAATTCAAAACCTAATCTGATATGAAACAGATCTGGGAGAATCTGGGATGGGAAGATGCAGTCGATGAGGGTGGTTGGGGTCGCGACGAAGAGGGGTTGGGAAGGGGTGGGCAAGGTCGTGGTGGTGGTTGGCTAGGTTGGTTTTTTGTTTTTGTTTTTGTTTTTTTATAATCAATTTTAAAATAATTTTAATAATTTAAAACTAGTTTTGAAAAAAATATAGTTTTTTATTAATTTTTAGTCCACGTGGAAGTTCATCTCATTAAAAAATGGAGCCCACATTTGCCACGTAGGCAGATAACAGATTTCCTGACGGATTCGCTAATGGAGAGGGGCGATTTGTAAGTTTTCGCGACGTGGTGTATGTACCCATAAATGTCCCCAAAATCGGGTATAAACTTGTAAATGACCCTATAGGTTGAGGAGTTTACTGTAGTTTGTCCTAATCTATATTATTGTGCACCAAAAGCTACAAAAATGAAAGCCTATATGAATGGGGTGTTCTCTCTCTCTCTCTTTCTCATTATAATAGTGAACCATACAAAGACGAAATGAGTTATAAATAATGCAACCAATCAAACCCAAATAATGCAATGCAACAAAACTTTGCCTTTTCTAATCTAGTATTATCACTACAATTATTTTATTAATTGGAACCGACCGACAGACAGAAAGGAAAGAGAGACCATTTTGGTAATTCCAATAAAAAATAAGGGCTATATAATGACACATGACGCATGAAATTAGCTGGCAGCATTACAACTGCAAGTAAAATTTGGTGTACTGCATGTTCTCTGCATCCGTATCCACCATCAGTTTCTCTGCTTCACAACTCAAACTCCAAGAAGAATGGAATTACAGAGAAAGTACTGCAGCAATCTTTTCTTTTTTCTTCTTCTTCTTCATTCATTCTTCTTCTCAGGATCTGTTGATGCTTACAAGAACTACACAGTAGGAGACTCTTTGGGTTGGTATGATAACCTCCAAAACCCCAAACTTAATTACCAGAAATGGGTTGCTGCCAAGAACTTCAGCTTGGGAGATTTTCTCAGTAAGCTTACCTAAACCCTACCCTTCAATTCATTTATTTGCTTGAATAATCACTTCCTCTCTCTCTCTCTCTCTCTCTCTCTCTCTCTCTAGCCTCCCCTTTTTTTTTCTTTTCTTTTTTTACCTCCTCTTTATTTGCATAAAATAATATTAATTTGGTGCTGGTTCATCTTGAATTGTGATATTATTAATTGGTGTATATATGCAAAGAAATTCTATATTTTTATTTTTTAGGATTATTCAATTTTTGTAGGATTAATTGGTGTTTATATGCAAAGAAATTCTTCTTCTTTTTTTTTTTTTTTTTTCTGAGCCATTAAATTGTCAAAACTTCGAGTCTGGAAATTAACGAATTTGTGGTTTGCTACGTACAAAAATATTCTTTTTTTGTTGTTGTTATTTTCTTCTAGAAAAAAAAAATAGAGAATTTTGGCAGTAAGAATTTGCATTAAAGACTAGTTACTTCCATCAGATGTGTCTTTTCCAAGAAGAGCATCAATTTTAGTGAAAAAGGTAAAGCTGAATAAGACTCAAAGAGAGAAGCATTAAGAAAAGGACATCTTAGTTTGCTCCAATTACAATCAAGCGCATGGACTTTTCTGTGAAACCATGTGTTCTTCACGTGTAGTGTGGCCACCACCGACGCCAACTGATCACATGCCACAGACTCTGATAAGAGTATTGTACAACACAACCACCGTTTTCTTGCTTTTAAATTAGTCTACTTCAGTCAAGGTCCAAGGATAACTTTTTCGTACGTGTTTCAATTTAGTCGTTCCGTCAATTTCTGTTCATTTTTCCATCTATTTGAGGGATAAAATCATCAGTTTGTATTCTAATTATACTTTCAAAACAAATGACATTGTTGCGGAAAGACTAAATTGAAACGAGTGTGAGAGTTGGATGACCAAGATGAAATTAGGGTAAGTTCAAAGACCATTGCATTAAATTAATTAGTAATATTTTTTTTGGTAAATTAGTTGATAAAAATGCCTTATCTTTTGTTTTTTTTTAAGAGGAGCATATAGTGGTTGGGAAAATGGATGGCAGCACATGATGAGTTGGGTTGGGTTTTTATATAATAATATTTGGGTCAAATGTGAAGAGAAAAGGAAAACAAATGCATTGATTAACTAATAATTAAGTTAAGACCCTTAAGTTAAACAAACCTAAACTGGATGAGACTAGTTAATCAGGACAATGCGACCGCTTTTTCGAGACTTTTTTTGCACCGAAATTCGAATTTCCTTTTTGTGAATTAAATTAATTTAGATTATTTTATTCCTGTATAAAAAACGAAAAATTGTATTTCTGTGCTGATAATTTTTTATTTATGTTTATGTGCAGTTTTCAACACTGACACTAACCACTCGGTTGTGCAAACATACAACTTGACGACATACAAGCTGTGCGATTACGACGATGCTCAAGAAAACGACACGATCCAATGGTCGTCGGCAGACCCATCAAACACGGCCCCACATCCAGTCTCCGTGGAAGTGCCTTTGCTGAAAGAGGGCATGTCGTATTTCTTTTCGGGCGATTACGACGGCGAGCAATGCAAGAATGGCCAGCACTTTAAGATCAACGTCTCTCATGGCCAAGGCCTGCCCAAGAGCTTACAAGACCCGGCCGCACAGAATCAGTCCCCAGGTCCAGCAAGCGGACCCCAGTCTGGCAACGACGAGGATTCGGTCCCGGATACAATCGTTCCTTCCAATTTCGATCACCCCCACGAGGACGACACAGAGGAGAAAAACCCATCTGGGTCGGTTGCTTTATCAATTTATGTGACGCAAGGAATGGTAGTTCCGTTTTTTATTTTATTAATGCGTTTTTATATATTTTGATTATTATTTTTTACATTTTCAAGTTATTTAATTTATTTAATTTTTTTTAAGTGATTAGTTTTGAGTTTTTCTCGTCAAATAGACTATATATCGGTATTTGTATAATACGTCATATAAAAATGGGCTTTTTACTAAAAATCTATTTTAATTTGGTGTGTGTTCGCTGTACGTGGTTTGCTTACTTGTTTAGGCATTGGTTGATTGTATTGTAACAAGTTAATAAAAATAATTGAAGTGTTGGCTTATGAGTTACTTCTTGTGGGTTCTTCTAGATTTGGAAAAGGCATTATTCTTGGGGAGCATTTCGCTTAACTCAAGGTGTATTATCACTACTTTTCTCAATACTTGGCACGTGTAATGTGTTTATAAATAATCATGGTTTTATAAATATAAAGTGAAGAGTTAACTATAGTTATGTCTATGGACACGTATTATGTGTTGAGTGTGTTGAGTGATGTATATTTTGGGTTAAAGTGGTAAGCAAAAATATTTTTATTATGCTTATGAATCTTTTCTAGCTTTAGATGGAGAAAGAGAGGGAATAAGGACCGATGATTGGAAATGAGACCAATAATTATTTGTTGGGTACAGATGGTTTGCCAACCCATTACTACATCGAAATACCTTTAACTTTATCTTCTTCCTTTCTCCTAAACTTAGCCCTAACCTTCCCTTTGTTCAAATTTTATTTCATTTTTCTAATGGTTGGGTGTTGTCCAACCATATAGACAAGTAATTTCAATTTGCACGTAACACCATTGCCCTAGATTCATCTATGTCCCTCAAAATGAAATTGCTCCTCATTGGTAGCCCCATCCTATGGCACGTATCACGTGTTGAATGGTGAATATTTTGGGTTAAAGTAGTAATAAAAAATATTTCTATTATGCTTCTAGCTTTAGATGGAGAGAGAGAGAGAGAGAGAGAGGGAATAAGGACCGATGATTGGAAATGAGATCAATAATTATTTGTTGGGTACAGAGGGCTTGCCAACCCATTATTAAATCGAAATACCTTTAACTTTATCCTCTTCTTTTCTCCTAAACTTAACCTTAACCTTCCCTTTGCCGTTCAAATTTTATTTAATTTCTCTAATGGTTGGGTGTTGTCTAACCATATAGACAAGTAATTTCAATTTGTATGTAACACCATTGCCCTAGATCATCTACGTCCCTCAAAATGAAATTGCTCCTCATTGTTAGCCCAATCATCAGAAGAAAAAAAAAAAAAAAAAAAAACTCCTCTAGTTGCACATACCTTGAGGGGGGAGGAGGCAACTGCTCTTCCTCCTCCCGTCCTTTCTCCTTTGACGCACAAATCTCCCTCCTCACTCATACTTTTCCCTCTCTTGTCCTCTCATCTCCTTCTCACCCCACCTCCCTTCCCTTCTTACACACCCATCCCCTCACTTTCCATCTCCTTTATGTTTTTTTATTTTTAATGTTTATTTTTTATCTTTTTGCAGATTTAGGATTTGGGTTTTTGATTTGCCTGGAGACGATATGGTTGCCTTTGTTTGTTTGTAATAAGTGCATCCACTCTTTTTGAGTGTTGCATTGTTGAGCCAATTCTTAACAACTAAAATGAGTTATTAAAAATAGCAACTTTAATTCTCGCAAGTGCACAAACCGTTTATAGTATAGCTTATGTAAATACGAGGTCGATCCCACGGAGAATGATAACTTGGCTCTAAGTTAAATTACTTAGAATGCTAGAAAAACATAGAACAAAGAAACTGACTGACTAGCTAAAGGCAATGTCGAATTCAACAATGCCTCTTGCTAATTACTCAAGGTCTAGGACAGAATCCTAGTACCACACACGCACTCGAAATGGGGGGTTCTGTTGTTGAAATGAAAAGAAGAAAGTGAAATGAAAGTGCTCGAAAGTAAACATTGGACAGATTGTGAAACAATAATTGAGAGGTGTTAGAGCCTTAGAATCCACCACTAGTTTTCCTATCCAAGTTATGAATGCATAGAAATTGACTCAAGCTTCATCAACAATAGATTATCGCATACAAGCCTATGGTATCTAGGTGCAGGATGCATGATTCTCCTAAGGCAT